TGCCTCCCTTTGACTTAAGCCGGTAACGTTCGACACTAGCCGATTGATAAATCGCTTCGAGTAACACAACTAAATTGCTACATTAACACAATGCTAAGGAGTATAAAATTCCATTTCAAATCTTATAATAAACAATGTTAATATTGTAGATAGTGAAATTTATTAACGTTTTGTATTAATTATAAAAAAAATAGGCTTACTTCTTCGTCTGCGCGGAATTTAAAAATAATCTTGATACCTCTATATGTTCTTCCACTATGATCCATTTTTGTGTCAAATTTCATCAAGATCCATTAAACCGTTCTGGACATACAAACCTATCCTACTAATATTATAAATGCGAAAGTTTAGATGGATGGATGGATGGATGTTTGTTAGAGTTTGTAACCTAAATAGCTGAACGGATCTCGACGACATTTAGCATAGATGTAGAGGATAGTCTGGAAGAACACATAAGCTACTCACTTTTGTTTTTTTTTTTTAATTCTACGCGGACGGAGTCGCGGGCGAAAGCTAGTTTATAATAATAGTAAAACAAATAACATAGGTTTTTACAAAGTCCAAGTACACATATTTTTATTCTCATATTTTTATTCTCATATAGAAACCTGTTAAATAAAGTTAGAAAACGCTACAACTGATTGGTCTGCTAACATTTTTGAGGTTAAAATTTGGGGTCTGTAGTCGAAATACCACAAAACAATACCCAAAAAAAAATATAGTATGCAGACCGCATATTTGGGTCTCACAATTAAAAAAGAAGTTTAAGAGGCCGCTGTCATCTGTAACGTGACGATTCGTACCGTCAGTTCTAACCGTTACGTATTTTTTGAAATTTTCGGCGATGCTATTCGGAATATTTTAGTATGGCCTACCTGCTACCGTAGGCCAATTCATTAAGGGCAATTAAAGAGTTTTATAGGCGCTTGAGAATTTATGACACTACCAAACTGATTAATGAAATACTCCTAAAATTGCGCAATAAGTGACCACGAAAAACTTCTATCGTTTAATACAATTAGAAATGTTTTTTTATACATTGAAAATAGAATTTTGAGCGTTTAGAGTAGGCGCACACCTTTGACTAAACTATCGCACAATAGTTGTGAGATTGTCGATTATCTCGTAGCCAATTCAACTGTTAAGTTGCATAACTAAAAATAAAATAGTGTGCGCACCTTCATATAAACTCATAGGAATAAAAGCGTGACTAAACAGTTATGCTATAGTTTAGTCAAAGGTGTGCGCTCGCTCTCATGTTATAGGTACTATTTTATCTAAGAAAATGTATATTATAAATAGTTGCTTAAGTTTAAAAAAGTTAACGAAGAGGTAAATGTAGATTTCCCACATTTCTTACAAGTTAAGCTCAGTGTTTCGGTGCGTAAGTTTTTGGCGCTATACGACCACTTGAAGTCGATTATTCAAAAATAACTTCAGACGTGGCCCTGTTACGCGAACGGATTTAGGTCAAACACTTATTGCTGGCAACTGTACACTCTTTGTCAAGGACAGCAGCCGCAAGTTGCAACCCTGACGCCCGTGAACATTGCAATTGGACTCACGTTTACGATTGAACGATTCCAGTAAATAAGTTAATATTTCCCATAGAACATAGTCCGTTTTAGTGCAGTAGTTCTAAAAGTATGTGTAATAATTCAGTAAATAATGTACTAGTGTAATTATGTGTCGAAAATAATTTGAACTTAGATTCCGTCTTACAATACGATTTAGAGCCTGTAGCAACTCCTAAAACGCATATAATAATATTACAATTCAAGTACAAATATCTATATTGGACTCAAATCTCAAATCTGCACCATTATTCAAGAAAAACATGTTTAAGGTAATATTTTTCCTTATAAAACAATCGGGCGGGCAGCTGCAGCGTGCGTGCGGCGTGCGGCGAGCGCGCGCGCCCGTCGCGTGCCGAGCGCACGAGGCAGGCCGAGTGTACACGAGCATCGCCGACACTGAACCAGTCACCACGCGGACCTTTTTACTTCAGTCACCGGATTTTTTTTTCTCAAAAATACAGAAATATAGTTAATTAGGATATCGGTTTGGTACCTCCACTTTTACTAAAACCCATTGCGCAGAATTGCATTCACTAGTCCGCCTTTACTAAGATTTATATAGTTACAAATTTGACAAAAAGTTAGTATCACTGCATAATCAGCGAATAACTTACATCTAGTGTTGAATCTTCACACGGTCAGATAAACTATGTTCTGTTTTTATACTATTCCGTTGTTTTATTTCTATTGTAAACTGTCATGTTTCACCTACAATTGATTCATAGCAATTAGTAGCTGTGTTCAATTGTATTAAATTATCGTTTGTTTTAAAATTATCCAGAGATATTCCATAATTGCATTCGCAATCATCCGAAGTGGTCGAAGTGGTGGACTATTGAATATAATAATGAATAACGAGTAGCCGGACGTGTAAAAAAGTCTGGAACAATTGTAGCCAACTATATACATCGTTTAATGAGTTGGATGCTGACGACAAAACTATTCGCGAATTCACAGGTGTGTTGCCTCGTTTCCGTCGCATCTAGTCTATCCCGTTTCGTGTAGGGACGTACGAGTTTGAACAATTAATACCGACGGAAATATCCTCCCATAATGGCGCAAGCTTCCCTTCCATTATCAAAAATTACTATTGCAATCCGATTTCGATGGGCGGGTATTCGCGACTTGATCGTCGCTACACGTATTGTCTTTTTCTTAAATTAAACGTTGCACAGACTTGTTTAGGATCCCCATTTTGAGATCGGATATATTATTATGTATCGTTGAAAAGTAATTTGATATCTGCCACGTGTTTAAGACTAGTTCATATTTATGTGTGTGCAATTTTTTTTTTCGTACTTTTACTGTTGAATGTAAAACGTAATGTTAAAAACTAATAATTATACTTGGTTGCAAAAATAATATGTATTGTTATCATGTGGTTTCAATATTATAATGAAATGAATAAATTTTGGGTCAAGTTTCCAGAAAATTTTCTGAAAAATGAATCAAATAGCTTTAATTCCAAGTTATTTAATCATTACGAAACAATTACATTTCAGAAGCAGGCAAACTTTTAAGATTTTGGAATCTTTGAGACTAAAATTCAATTAGCCAAAAGGCCGATTGAATTTTTAAGAGTAAACGCTGTATATCTGTGAGTGAAATAGGCTTGCCTCTTTGTACAAAGTTAATTAATTCAATAGCTCAAATATTTATATCAACCTCCTTTTACTCCACGAATTAAAGATAGTTTTACTTCTTTGTTAGTGGTTTTAAAGAGAATAATATCCCGCTTTACTACTTCAGATATAAGACGGCGTACGGTATCAGTTTTACTATTTTTTCCTAGCTCGTAGCGTTTTATTAAAATATTTGGACCTCCTTCTGGTTATAGACCCCTCGAATCTTTTCCACATGTCCATCAGTTCCTTGTTTGGTCCAGTCTTTTTTCCTATCTCTTCAATTATAAGCTGTTAAATAATTACTGAAAACCCAACTACCTCAAAGCTCATTATTATTAGTGAAAATTCCTAACCTTAAGAGATTTTTGGTAAACAACTTTCATTTTCTTCACCCCTTTCAGTTTGAAGGTGCAATGAAAGCTCTTTTGATAGAGCTTTACATTTTCAGACAAGGACATTTTTTCAATGAAAAATAAAATGTTTTTAAATATAACTTTCGTTTATTCACAGAAATGACATATTAAGATAATTGGTGGTGTATATTTCTGTTTTAAAACACTAACATATAAACATCTTAAATTATTAGGAATCTTTCTTAGGGTACTAATAAATTTATTTACAAGTCTTTATCTCAACTCATTCAGATTATTTACAAAAACCAAGGCAGAAGAGTCCCTTTCACAGAATAGCTAAACATAGCTAGCTAATGACCGAAACAAAGTTAAAATTCTTAAACTAGTGACTAGAAAACGCTTACAAACTAATTGTAATACTATATTAATTCCTATTGGAAGTAAGTTTAAGTAAGGCTACATTAAGGCACAGCGATGGTTTGAGTCTTAGAGTTCTGTTAAATGCTTCAGCGGAACAATAAATGATCATCTCAGTCTTGGTATTGCTATTCCATCGATGTATGAAACGCAAGCATGGGTATTCGGTCGTGGTCGGTCGCTCGGCGGAATGCATCGATGTGGTCGTTGTAGTCCACCATTATCCCCTCTCATTAGGAATATACTGATTGCGGTTAATTAGAGGTTCTCTCCGAGTCCCGAGCGCTCCATCGCTCGGTTTCTACTTGAAGCGAATACTCGTTTTTTTCACAATCAAGAAGCCGCTTACTGGCCGCACTTTGATCTCCGTATGCCACGGCATCTGTAGAAGAAAAGAAAAAAATATTTAATCAAAAAGAAAACATTGTATAGATTAATACTCTTTATACATATAAAATAGTTGCTACGAATCTCATAAAAACAACGTAAGTCAACAAGCGTCTGTTCAAAGGTTAGCAAATATTGTAACACGTGTGCTTCGCTCACCGCCCCTCTATTTCCTCTTAAGATTTCATCTTCCGGTACAAGAAATTAATAGATAGGAGGGGTCTACTTTTTGCGTGTTGTGATTTCGTGTTTTGGACATGGCAACTCGTTTTTGCCAATCGAGCGAATGCCATATGGCACGTAGTGTCGACTCCCACTGACCGGATGCGTCGTTGCGATTTAAAGCATCAATGAAAGGACGAAATTGCGCAAAACCTGTTTCCACTCGAGACGAATCAAAGCAATCTCATATGACCACTTGTTATTAGAATACGCAACTTTTTATATGCAATTTCGCCCACAACATGCGGGGCGCACCACAAGATTGTTAGAAATAATTGCGATACGCTTGTTGGAATAAGAGAGCAAAATGCGGGTTCTATCTAACTTTTAAGCATTAGATTTTATAACATAAAAATTTAGCGAATAAAAAATCCTATCCAGCTCTTTGTATCTTTTTTTTTAATGGTGACATGTTTTAAGATTCGCTTTTGTCAAGGTTGAGCTTTTGTGTGGATGCAATTTAACAATGGGCAGATAAAGTCTATGCGACGGTTCAATGCGCGTTTATAATAGTATATGTGTTTTCATTTCGGCTCAGAATTTTGAAGACTTCAGACGCTATAGAATTTGCGCAACATAAAAGCGTAGACCTGACCCGGTAGGTAACCGTGACTAAACTTTATTATACAAAAGGTTTTGTACCTGATCTTTATGTTATTTTATAATACATAAAGTAAATTTGAAATTTCAACCTTGGGAAGTAATAATTTTTTAAATGAAATATGGTATGTCAACAACGACGCGACCTAAGTGTAAACAAATGTGATAAGAATTTAGGGTACTATCAGTTTCGAAGCTTATGTCAACAATTTTCAAGGTCTTGGTACACAAAATGTAAGTAACCAATAAGTTTTTAGATTTTTACAAATACTAATTTAATTATTTTGACAACTCACCTAGTATCATTGTTGCTGCCACCAGGATATGACATCAAGAAGTTCTTCATCTTCTGGACTCATGGGTTCGTATGAATCATAAGCGTCATGACAGTGAGGCCCGACAGAGCTATCCGAT